AATATAAAAAGGTTAATGACAGAACCATAGTAAGTTAATTAAATACCCAATTTTGCTATAAATCATTTAATAATTCAAAACTTTAAAATAAATTTTAGACTTTAAAAGAAAAGAATTGATGCATCGGATATAAACGTCTACCGGGCAGCAGTTTAAGGTGTGTGCCGCAATGTAATCAGAATTGTGGCAGCGGCAGATGCTCAAAGCCAAATACATGCAGCTGTAATAGGGGCTATGAGAATCTCAACCATTTGCCAGCCAATCGGTGAGTTTTGGACATGAATTTTAATATAATTCATACATCTGATCGTCTCTTTCTATGCCAGTTGCGTGCCCCAATGCAAGGGCGGCTGCACAAATGGCCGTTGCGTCTCGCCCGGTAAGTGCATCTGCGCCACAGGGTACGAGATCGATGGGGCAACCGGTCAATGCCAATCTGCAGCAGCGGCTGTGCCAATGGCCACTGCAAATCACCAGGAATCTACGTCTGCAATAAGGACTTCACCTCAAATGTCAATACTCAGATATGTCAACCCGATTGCATGCCTGGTTTCCAGCTGAACGAGACCTTAAACGCTTGCAATCCAATATGTAGCAAAGGCTGCAATAATGGAATCTGTCGTTCCCCGGAAACTTGTGAATGTCATGCGGTTCTTTTTCTATACAACATTTTTTTTGCTAACTTTTTACTCAATTAGGAATAGACTTATTTTCTCTAAGAAGAAACACAGCCAAAATATTTGTAATATTTGAAAATATTCTTTCAAAATATTTTGAAATATATAGTTTTTGGCCTTTAAATATACGATAATTTTGACTTTTCCAATTGATAATTACACACTGTTAACCAAATCACTATTTTTTTTTATAAAATTCTTGCTTCTTGCCCACTGTGCGAATCAGGCCCCTAACAACCGCATGACACCAGCAAACGCCCCTGCACAATATGTTCGTACACCCAAACATGCCCAGTTGGAGCTGATGGTTGGTGCTGCTGTTGTCCAGTGCCCCACAGACTAACTGGTTGCTGTTGTTGGCCGTTGTCTGTCTGTCTGTCTGCCTGTCTGTGGCGGTGCATTTGAAAGTGGTTTTGGGCCATTGCATAAGTGCACCAAATTCCAGCAACAACAAACAAACGGCCAGCCACAAGCATTACCAACAACAATAACAACAAGCAGACCTGGTTTCTAATGGTATCTAAATCGGTAACAATTTTTTTCTATATCATTCTTTGGGCCCGTCCGCTTTTTATAACCAAACTGCGCCAAGTGTTGACGTAATGTGCGCGATTATTGCTGGATATTTCATTTGGGCTCTGATTGGGGCCGGCTCCAATTGAAGCGGAACCCCAAACTTGGTGCATTTAGCTGTGGCTAAACAAAGACCCCGGGGTAATTTTATAGATCTCATCGTGGGTTATTCGGCAGTTTATTACGCATTATATATACATACACACATACTCGTAATTACAGACATATAGATAGATATATATATATAGATTGTTATCGGGAGTGACTGATTTATTTGGCAGTAACAAAATTGACATTGTCCACGGACATCAGTCGCTATCTCTCTTGGGAGGGGGCGAAAGGCCTGCCATCCAACACAATATTGACCAGGGTCCAACGTCTACTTTCTGCCCGTATAGTCGATGCTGTAGGAGCCCGTATAGATGTTCAGATTACGCAGCGCCGGATGATGTTGCTCCGGCTGGCCAGCATACGGCTGCTGCTGCTGCTGCTGTGGTGCATAGTAGGGCTGCGGCGCTGGCGGCTGATAATAACGCGGCTGTGGTGCAGGAGGGTTATAGTACTGCGGCGTGGGATTGTAATAGGGACGTGCTGGTGCCGGAGCCGGAGCCGGTGCATATTGCGGCTGTTGCTGCTGCTGTCCGCGACCAAAATCGCCCAGGCTAAACTTGCTGGCCGCAATGGGGCGATTGTACTTCTGATCCCTGTAGTAGACAGCCGGATCTTCACGGTACTGGCCATCGTCTATCTCATTGGGTCCCAGCGGATAGGGATTGCTGTTCGTTAGTGTCGGCGGCGGCACATTAATGTGACTGCCAGCGGGCTCAAAGCCACGCTTACTCGCCCCATACTCAATCTCGCGCACCTTGCCCTGATCATCCACATAGCCATATTTGCCATAGACCTCTCCATTCGCATACTTTGTTTCGATTTTGAAACTCTTATCGGCGGCCTCGTAGCCGTAAGTATATGAGCCGTCATCATTGTGCTTGTCGATCTGCTTCAGTATGGGCACAGGCGTGGTATAATCCTGATGTTGCGCATTCGCAATGTGCGCCAGCAGCAACAGCAAGAGGTAATCCCTAATGCGCTGGAAAAGATTAAGCATTTGAGTTTGTAAAGCAAAAAATACATTTTTAATGGTACAAATTTAAATTGACTAACATGGGTAAAGGTTTTGTGCATGTGAATAAATTCAATTATCTAAATATTTAAAGAGGTTTTGATATAATCAATTTGGATTCTCTTTTTGCCAAAAATTCGAAAACTATTAGCTAAAAATATCTGAAGGTGGATACAGATTAAGAAACAGAAAGTAAAAAGAGTTTTACTTTTAATGTCAAAGAGTTGGATTTTAACTAGCTTAAAAAAGCGCAGAAAAGCTCCAAGACTTGAGTTGGATTTTTATTAGAATAATATTAAGTTATTTGTTTACAAATTGGATTGATCAAAGGCGAGATTCTTTTAACCCTAATTAAATAAATTAAATACTTAAAACTGTTTGAAGATTAAACAATTTGGTATTTTTGTTTTTGTAACTTTTAAATATGCCAGTTTATTTTAATTTACGACGTAATTGCAAATAAATTGAAAGCGCGTATTTCCTTAATTGTGTTTGCAATTAGCTGGATTAAATCGATAAGCATTTAATATTTAATTAACTCCAGTTAACAACATTCCAATGGCAGCTTTTCAAGGACGTCGTCGCTGGCAATAATATACAATATGTATATTTAAAAGAGCTGCAATTAAGGCCCAGTGTTTTGTGATCTACATAAATCTCGCACAAATTGTCAAACCGGTTGCGTATGAATTCTAAAACTTGGCTAATTCTAAATGCATTTCAGGAGTTCGTATTTCACACTTTGTTATTATTTATTGTTTGCTCTTGTCATTTGTTTTGCTCACCATTTTCAGCATTATAGTTGGCTCAAATCGATTTCACCAATCTCACGTCTTGCGTTAACTTGAAAATGCGACTCGAGACTCTGCGCAACGAAACGACAACTCAAAAGAAAATCAGGGCGTGCAACGCTTTTATACCACGAGTCCGCGTATCGAACAAGTGAGTACAAAATAATACTACAAATAAATAAATTTCAAGTAAAACTCTCGAGCCGAAGGCGGCCGAGAGTAAATTACATGGGACAGGTGGACACTTGCTGCGGGCGGGCGCAGGGCGAGAGTTGTGCGATCAGCTGCACGTTATATACGAAGCTTGAGCCCGAACAGAATCGAGTGCTTTGGAATGCCGCATAGAAATCGAAAGCTATCGATTGCCCCCCTGCCCAACGCATTTAAAAGAACGCCCCAGCACCAATCAGGTTATTAAAGTCAAAGCAAAATTCTCGACGCCAACAACTTATGCTGCCAGCCGGCACACACGCATATGCAATAAGCTATCCTCGAATTGCATACAGAATGTAGGGTATTAAATGCGGAAGTTTTCTCGATCAGCCAGCACTCACTCAGAAGTCAAACCATTTAAGTTATGTAAAGCATATGCGTGAACAGCTTGCTTCTTGGCCATTCACAAAGCCATTTAAAAAGTCTAAAATATTCGCACTACTTTATGGCTCCAGTTTTCAGCTATTGGCCATTTCTTTTGGCTTTTTTCGCAACTAAATGCTAAATGCAATCACGAAAAAAACTTTTAGTCCACTGACCTAGTCAATGCTTGGCAATAGCCACAAAAACAGGTTGCTAGCAGGGCACCAAAGAAATGCAAATAGTGTACATATAATAGTATACCCTATGTCGCGGCATAATCATGCAATAGGGTATCACAAATTTGTGCTAATATGTATGTTCAATATATATAGTCTATAGTCTAGTCTATACGAAGGAGATGGCAATTTAAATCAAATTTGATTGCATATGGGTGTTTACATACCCTGTAAATATTTACTTAGGGACTACCCTGAACCTTCTTCTTCGAAGTGCGGCAAGTGCTACAAAATAAAAGAAACTTGATTTGAATATACTATTCTAGAAGCTACATGCCAAATATGGTGAATCCAGCTCTTAAAACCTAAAAGATTTGCTCAAAAACAGGATTTTTATATAGAATTTTATGAATTACTTGGAAACGGGGCAAGTTATTGATTATCCGAAAAAACAACTCGATCGGCGCGGGCACTAGAACAGGACAGTCGGACGGACGGGCTAACGAATAGACGAACAGACAGATGGACATGGCTAAATCGACTCGGCTATTGATGCTGATCAAGAATATATATACTTTATGGGGTCGGAGGTACTTTCTTCTGCCTGTTACATTCATTTGCCCAAAAATACATTATACCCGTTTTACCCATTTTCAATGGGTTCAGGGTTTAACATTTTCTTTTCAAATGACATTGTGTACATATGAATTATGACAATAAAATATTTGCTGGTATCGTAAGTGTATCTTCCAGGTGATACTTCCATATATCATGCGGTTCCAGACAAAACACCTTCCACATCCATAAAAGAGTTGTAAGAGCGACCCGTTTCTTCCCCATGGAAGATAAAAAATCGATAGCACGCATCAGAAATAACAAGAAACATATAATATGCGAAAAAAAATAGGATTTTGGATAAATCTGTTTCCCATCTGCTGAATGTGAGTACAAAAACTGGGAACTGCTCGTGAACTGCTGCTGTAATCGCATTGCTTAATGCCTGACTTTAGTATAAATTTAAAAAAAAATAGGGTAGCTTCAAGTCGACTATAGCACTTAAAACGGTTTCTTTTTTGTGTGAAGCTGTTTAAATTGAATTCCTTTATGTGGCGTATACTTAATATGTGTGTCTCGTTTTGTGAATTTGGTCTAATTGAAGTGTTTCTACATGCTAATGACTTATCTCAGGTGTCATACAAATTGGCTTAAGTGTTACGCAAAATCCTCAAACAAATACTTTGCTGGCAAATAGCGAAATATTTTTGTGAAACGATCCTGAAGGACCGCATCAAAAGTTTGTGTCAGCACCGGACGCAGCACATCGAACAAAACGCGCCAATTCTCATTGAAGAGCTCGTTGGCACTGCGCTCCAGTTCCTGATTGCCACCAAACAGATTCGTTAGATTCACCCGAATCTTGTCAATGCGTACAATGTCCGTCTTGATGGCGGTGACATTCATAAAGGTCAGCCCCTCCGCCAGCTGTGGCTGCATTCTGAGCGCCACATAGAACTCCAAATAATCTATAAGATTTTATTACTTCAAAAAAGTAGCTTGGTTAATTGAAAAGAAAAAAACTTACCCAAATCGGCGCTCAAAATGCCAGCGCTGTTGAGATTCAGCAGCAACACATGCCCCTTCAGCTTGTAGTTGCTCGTTATGTTGATCTGTGTGAGGTGCACATGAAAGCCCAGGGTATACTGACCAGAGTTGAGCAGTGTGCTGCAGATTTTTTAGGTTTTTAATATAGTTCAATTCACAATTAGCCACTGGCTGCTTACGTGCTGTTCAGTATCTTGGCTTGGCTTAGGCCAATTGTGCTCATATTGCGCAGCTCCACGCTCACATCCACATTTGGTGGCACACGCTGGGCAATACGCACTCTGCCCACCCGAAATGGATCCAAAGAGCCCACGCCGCGCAGCCCCGGCACGCCTATGAATATACAAAAGGATTTTCAGTGCTGTAAAAGTGCGAACTAAATATGGGCGCGTATCGAATTTTTCAACACGAGAAACAATTTAAAAGCGCGCACGCTCATCAAGATAAAATTGACTACACTACATTCTTCTTTTTTTAACATTCTTATACGTTCTCAGACTATTTTACTTAGATTTGGGAAATTTTTTAAAAGTAGTTTTTTCTATTTGAATACATTTTGTAATTATTTTAGAAAAAAATTTAAAATATATATTTATATATAATTAGTATTATTATTATCCTTTATTTAATTTTATTATTATTAGCATAAGCTATAGTGAAAAACTCCTACCCACCCAACTGTGGTAAAAACTCACCATTACGCCAGTTTTGGAAAAGGCTCTCTATGTTGGCAGTCAAACAGTCGTTACTGAGGCTATCCTTTAAAAGGCATGGCTTGATAAAGGCAGCTAAAAGCAGACAATAAATCAGTTTAAAAGCAAATAAGTTATTAAGCAAATACACACGTGGCTCCTGCAGAAACTGTTGCGCTTGCACCGCAGCAAGCCACAGTGGTGCGAGTAGGCTAAACCACAGAGCAACTGGCTTTTGGAGCTGCATTGCTACCGCTTTACTTGGCTGCTCACCGTGGACTGGTCATCAACAAAATAAAATAAACTATTCAAGCAAAGCATTCGGCAATGGTTGTAAAACTTTTTATTTGATCGGTTCGACTTCAGTTTATGCATATGTTGTAAGCAGGGCGAGAGTTTATCAACCCGTCAACCGCAGACCTTGATCTGTGTGGCATAGTAAATCTTATGTGATGTTAATGAAACTAGCAACAAGTATGTGTACTCCAATCGAGCTAGTTCGACGCGAAGATACCCTGTTCCCAGGCTCGAATTTTCGTTATATTGACTATTTTTATTAAAACATACAGTATTACTCAACCCGAAGAAGAATTTCGTAGCCGCACTCTGTAAAAAACTCACTCATGAATAAGTTTTCCGTTGAGGTCTAAACTCTCTGTTAACTTTTTTCGCTTGATTTTCAGAAAAACTGGGGAAAAATTATCCAAAAAACTGCAATATTCTTAATCGATGTATACTATACGTGTACCTTCTCCCCAATACGATGTCGTTACTCTTTAATCTACGCTTAAGTCAACTTCTAACCAAACCTAGGCTTAAATCTAATATTAATCCATTTGAACAAGAATAACATGAACAAGCGAATTTTCAAAAATATATTATATAATGTAAGCAAACTCTAAGTAAAAAAGCTTCTAGCTTTTATAGTCTCAGATGCTATACTAGCATATATACACCATATGGGGTCATGTTTTGAAATAGTTACAGGGTATAACAATCAATGTGAGATGTTTAATATCATAGTCGCATAAGCCCTAAGAAACCATAAGCTCTCCGCATGCTTAGAACAAAATATATTTAATTGGTAGAACAGCATTGAATTTTAGTTAGAGTAATATTAATATTAGCTCACCAAACCAGTTTACTTTAAGCTAAGTGACATAAGGCAGGCATAAGATAAACAATGTTTAAGGGTCAAGGTCGCAAAGTAGCAGAGATGTAATTGCAAGTAAACTGTCAAAAGATGTCAAGGGTAGCAGGCGCTCAGCTGGCAATTGGAGACAGAGCAGAGCGCAATTTCGCAATGCTCATATTAAAAGGGCACCCTGTATATTAAGCACCAGTCTAATGGCACAAAAACTTGTTTTACTGTTTATTCAATTAAACCAAAACTGTGAACTTGAAAAAGAAAACAAATAAAATTAAATATATAAAAGTATAAGTATATATTTATTTATATATATACATAAATATATATTGAGCTTTCTGGATTTCTGCATTTCATTTAGAATATAAAATATAATGACTTCTACGCCGAAACGTCAGAACATTCGGCGCTTTCAAGCCAAGCTAACAGTTTTAATTTGATCTCAGCATTATGATGAATAAAATACGAATTTTAAATTTCTTGGGCCTTTTACTGGTATCCGTGCTGGCAACTCTTACCGTGGCCTCCAATTATCTGGCCGAGAAACGTAGGAACAACAAATATATTTAGTTAAATCATTTTTTTATCCTAATATTGTTTTCTGTCTTAGCCAATTTTTTGACGCCCTGTGTCTTGGAGGATCCTAATTTTAACAAATGCCTGGCGAACAATCTGCAAGGCATATTCGTACAGTGGAAGGATGGTATACCCGGCACCAATACAGTGGGCTCCTTTGACCCACTCTTTCTGAAGCGTGTCAAATTCACGCAGGATGCCAACAATGCCATTGCCATCAATGCGGACCTACAGAATGTTCATGTGATAGGCAGCAGCCACCTAACGATCAAGGAGGCCAAGTAAAGTTCTATTTCATAAATTTCTTTTTCTCTTTATTGCTTCTACTACTTAGCTAAAGTAGTGACAGTAGCTTCTTTTAAAACTCCCATCTCACACATCAGCACACTTTGTTAACCCCTTGCCCCTCATTTGCAGCTATAACTAGTTGCGAATTGTAATTGACGCGTTAAGAATTGACGCGACGAAAAAATAATTAAGCCAAAGTCCAATTTCTGTCATGAAACCAGTTTATCATCAACTTTTTGTTTATATATTTTTCAGTTACAGTCCATCCAAATATGTAGCCAAAGCGCTGGCATTCGTGCCCAAATTGCGATTCGAATTCGACTATAAGGTCAAGGGTCACGTGCTGGCCCTAAATCTAAACGGTCAGGGCAAGGGCTACTTTGAGTCTGGTAAGCAAAGTACAAATATAGCAGAATGTGTTCTAACCCCAATTGTATACAACTGCAGAGAACGTTGTCGTCGGCCTTGAAATGGCAGTCAGACCGCGCAGCGCACCCGAAGGCACTTTTGCAGATGTCCAGCGTGTAAAAGTCTTTTTCCGCGAAATCGGCAGCTTTCACATTAAGCTAAAAAATCTGTTTGGCGATAATGCAGAGCTGGATCGCACAGCCCATACACTTTTCAATGAGAACTGGCGTCAGTTCTATGATGTACTCCGACCGGCCATTGAGCAGACCTTCGAGACGGTGTTGCTGGATCGTACCAAAAAGATATTTGCCTATGTGCCGGCCACCTACTTTATCCACAACTTTCACTGATTGTCCGATACGAATTTGCTATAACTAAAGGAACAATTTTTTTGATTAAATATTAAAAAAGAACGTTTTCTTATACATATAAACATTTCGAGGATAAAATCTATAAATACTATAATTCATTTTATTTTACATGAAGTTAATTGCTTAACAACTTTATCAATGATTTTCAAAATTTGCAAATCAGAGATTATAAAAACATAACGGCAACTTTCAATGAATAAATAAAGTGAGTTTTCTTATATAGTATATAGAGCTGGTCGTATTAACTGCTTAGACGAAGCTTGTTGTCGCTAATTTCTAGATCTCTAGTAGACATAAAACCGCTTGACATTAACATTTTGTAGTTTAATTGCGCGCTCAAAGCTCAGCGACGAGAACGTTCCGAGTACACTCCGTTCGCCTCATATAAGGTCTGGTCCCAGATTGATTATAATCGAGTAGCTGCCAGTTGGGTTAGCGTTTAGATACTCACCTGCTGTCATCATGAACGGCACGCTTGCCTTTTGCTGCGGCTTGCTGGCAATTTGTTTTATAAACGGTGTCGTCGCAGTTGAGTACTTCACGGAGAAGCGTAAGTTGGCCACAGATAGAATTCAATTGTGCCCAATTCAGCTGGAATTATGTGTCAATTATAGCATCGTTTTTGCCATCGTGTCGCATCTATGAGCCGGGTTTTACCAATTGCTCCACGCACAGCATACAGAAGCTATTGGATCAGCTGAGCATTGGCATACCGGAGATAGTGGCCAGTATCGGGCCATACGATCCCATGCATGTGAGGGATATTCATTTCAAACAGGATAACAACCAAGTGGCCACCATAAGTGCCAATCTGACTGAGGTGATCGTTAAGGGTTTTAGCAGCGCCAAGATCAAAGAAAGCCGGTGCGTAACATGAGACTTACAAATATAAAGATATTTGAGGTGATGGCCGCATTCGAACCCTGAACCCAATAGAAATGAGTTAAAAGTGTAAATGGTTTTGGGCAAGTGAAAGTAACAGAAACAGGAAGGCTTCTTTCCCATTAAATATGTATATTATTGATCAACACGACGAGCTGAATTGATCTAGCTATCATCGGAGATATATCGATCTGCTCTCATTTTTATAATATCGATAAATATCGATTTTATCACACCGTTTTTCAGACATAACTCAAAGATTACATACTTAAAATTTGGTATTCATGCGGTATACACATTTTCATTTTTTTTATACCGTCCCCATTCTCCACGAAATTTATCAAAAAAAATACATTTTGGACGTATTGTCTTGGTCATTGATACCATATAAACGCTCTGAAAATTTGTTAAGCATTTCGCATGGTGAAGGGAAGCAGCACAGCTGCTGCGTGAACAGGGTATCTTCTAGTCGAGCACTCTCAACTGGGCCAGTCTTACTTGTTATATAAATAAATGTGGAATGATAATATTCACGAAAACAGGGCAAGGAATACATAAGGAACAGAAAAAAACAATATATAAATATATTCACATATATTTACAATAAGATCACACAAAGGGGCGATGTCGCACAACGCCGGGTAAATTCATCGAATCCATATTTATTGTATTTATGTTTTCGCAGTGTTAGCAAAAAGGACTTTAGCTGGAGAACCAAAATCTTTCTGCCCAAAATGCGGCTGGATGCCAAGTATCAGATGGCTGGCCGCATACTTTTAATACCACTTAGTGGTGCAGGCAATATGTTCCTAGAGTTGGGTAAGTCTGGGTATATATTAATACGAAAAATGTATATGGATAAAACCGATTACCAAATATGTTTCTCCAGAGAACCTCGACATACTGCTGCGCACCAAGACGCTGCTGTACGAGAAGGGTGGCTTCACCTTCGACAATGTGACTTCCGTCCGGGTGGAGCTGAATATGACCCGTGTACGCAGCAATTTCGATAATCTGTTCAATGGACGCAGCAAAGAGGTGGAGCGCAGCACGAATCAGTTTTTTAACGACAACTGGCGCGAGTCCTACGAGGCATTGAAGCCGCTTATTCTCGAAACTGTAGAGAGCATATTCTTTGATATAATGTCAAAGGTTTTCCACCTGATACCGGCTAATTTCTTTGTTGAGGATATTCCTACGCCGCAGCAGCTATATGGCAAAGTGGGTGATGAATCATAAATAATGAACAGGCTACCTTTGACAACAAGTATGCATGCTTCAGTCGAGCGTCTCCGACTTGGAAATACCCTAGCTTCGCCGAATACATTCGTTACATTTAACACAAAAACTATGAAAACTTGTGTGTTTATTTTCCGATCGTAATGAAATATTTAACGCATTGAAGTCGTATTTAAATCGGTACATATATATATAGCATCAAGCCTGTACTGGGTATTCAAACGCTTTTAGATTTTTTTCAGTGGGTAGAGTGCATATAAAAATGAAATACTTACGTACCATATATTACATTACATGAACTAAAAACCAGCTTAGAACATTTCAAACTCGTAATACTGATGCTAATTCGAATGCACATGTGTATAATATAGTTTATAATTTGCCAAAGCATATAAATCATTCAGTAATTAGTTCATTAACTATCTACTTGTAGAATTAATGGTAAGTACTTGACATTTCTTTGCACATCTCGAAAGACAGACACACACATTACGTAGACTCAGGCACGTATTATATCAGCTTGTTTAGCCGAAAAGTAAACGCCATATCTTTGTTCTGTAAAGAAGAGACTAATGAGTTATAGATCTGGCACCTTAACCGATATTACTCACCCTTCTCGTCCACTCTGTAGTGCCGTTGCCTGAGTGCATACATGATCACATAGATGATCACCACCAGCACCACAGCCACGGCCACTAAGGCCAGAAATAGCCAATTTTTGATGAAAATATTCATGCCGGCAGTTCGACCCGCATTTTCTGTGCCTGTAAAACTTGGACACTCAACGCCTGCTTCTGGTGTCTGGCCATCATAGCAGAGGCACACGCCGGGATATGCACAATAACCATGGACGCACTCCTCCTCGCACTCGGGCAGGCAAAGCAATTTTGTAGCGTTAAGTGGATCTTCGGTCAGTCTGTAGTTTTCCTCACAACTGCACCGTCCATCCACACAGGTTCCATTCCAGCACAGCTGTTCACAAATATCAATTCTCCCCGTTTGCCTCGGAGCTGGGGTACTTGACCTTTCAGTGTCATCCCAGTGACGCGTGCAAACATTTTCCAGCTTTATGTAGCCTTCATTGCAGCTGCAGTAATTAGGGGATTCACAGAACCCGTTGGGGCACCCGTCTTCGCATACTGGTTCACAACTATTCTCACTCACTTTAATGTAGCCTTCGTTACAAGTGCATTCCCCTGGCGTACTACAGACTCCGTTCTCACATCCGTCCTTGCACACTGGTGCACAACTGTTCTCACTCACTTTATTGTAGCCTTCGTTACAAGCGCATTGCCCTGGCGCGCTGCAATATCCGTTCTCACATCCGTCTTTGCAGACTGGTGCACAACTGTTTGCACTCACTGAAGAATATCCTTGATGACACGTGCATTCCCCTGGTGCACTACAGAATCCGTTCTCACATCCGTCATTGCACACAGGAGCACAACTGTTCTCTGTGACTTTGCTGTAACCTTTATCACAGGTACATTTTCCTGGCGCACCACAGAATCCGTTCTCACATCCGTCTTTGCACACTGGGGCACAACTGTTCTCACTGACTTTACTGTAGCCTTGGTTACAAGCGCATTGCCCTGGCGTGCTGCAATATCCGTTCTCACATCCGTCTTTGCACACTGGGGCACAACTGTTCTCGCTGACTTTACTGTAGCCTTCGTTACAAGCGCATTGCCCTGGCGTGCTGCAATATCCGTTCTCACATCCGTCTTTGCACACAGGAGAACAACTGTTCTCTGCGACTTTGCTGTAACCTTTATCACAGGTACATTTTCCTGGCGCACTACAGAATCCGTTCTCACATCCGTCTTTGCACACTGGAGCACAACTGTTCTCACTGACTTTAATGTAGCCTTCGTTACAAGCGCATTGCCCTGGCGCGCTGCAATGTCCGTTCTCACATCCGTCTTTGCACACTGGGGCACAACTGTTCTCGCTGACTTTACTGTAGCCTTCGTTACAAGCGCATTGCCCTGGCGCGCTGCAATATCCGTTCTCACATCCGTCTTTGCAGACTGGTGCACAACTGTTTGCACTCACTGAAGAATATCCTTGATGACACGTGCATTCCCCTGGTGCACTACAGAATCCGTTCTCACATCCGTCATTGCACACTGGTGCACAACTGCTCTCACTGACTTTATTGTAGCCTTCGGTACAAGAGCACTTCCCTGGCGTACTACAGAGTCCGTTCTCGCATCCGTTTATGCACACTGGTGCACAACTGTTTTCACTGACTTTACTGTAGCCTTCGTTACAAGCGCATTGCCCTGGCGTGCTGCAATATCCGTTCTCACATCCGTCTTTGCACACTGGTGCACAACTGTTTGCACTCACTGAAGAATATCCTTGATGACATGTGCATTCCCCTGGCGCACTACAGAATCCGTTCTCACATCCGTCTTTGCACACTGGGGCACAAATGTTCTCACTGACTTTATTGTAGACTTCGTCACAAGTGCATTCACCTGGCGCGCTGCAATATCCATTCTCACATCCGTCTTTGCAGACTGGTGCACAACTGTTTGCACTCACTGAAGAATATCCTTGATGACACGTACATTCCCCTGGCGCACTACAGAATCCATTCTCACATCCGTCTTTGCACACTGGGGCACAACTGTTTTCACTGACTTTACTGTAGCCTTCGTTACAAGTGCATTTCCCTGGTGCACTGCAATATCCGTTCTCACATCCGTCGTTGCACACTGGTGAACAAATGTTCGCACTCACTGAAGTATATCCTTGATGACAAGTGCATTCTCCTGGCGCACTACAGAATCCGTTCTCACATCCGTCTTTGCACACTGGGGCACAACTGTTCTCACTGACTTTATTGTAGCCTTCGATACAAGAGCACTCCCCTGGCGCAATGCAATATCCGTTCTCGCATCCATTTATGCACACTGGTCCACAACTGTTTTCACTGACTTTACTGTAGCCTTCGTTACAAGTGCATTTCCCGGGTGCACTGCAATATCCGTTCTCACATCCGTCGTTGCACACTGGTGCACAAATGTTCGCACTCACTGAAGTATATCCTTGATGACAAGTGCATTCTCCTGGCGCACTACAGAATCCGTTCTCACATCCGTCTTTGCACACTGGGGCACAACTGTTCTCACTGACTTTATTGTAGCCTTCGATACAAGAGCACTCCCCTGGCGCACTGCAATATCCGTTCTCGCATCCGTTTATGCACACTGGGGTACAACTGTTTTCACTGACTTTACTGTAGCCTTCGTTACAAGTGCATTTCCCTGGCGCACTGCAATATCCGTTCTCACATCCGTCTTTGCACACTGGGGCACAACTGTTCTCACTGACTTTACTGTAGCCTTCGTCACAAGTGCATTCCCCTGGTGCACTGCAATGTCCGTTCTCACATCCGTCTTTGCACACTGGGGCGCAACTCTTCTCACTGACTATACTGTAGCCTTTATTACAAGTGCATTCACCTGGTGCGCTGCAATATCCGTTCTCACATCCGTTTATGCACGCTGGTGCACAACTGTTCTCTGTGACTTTGCTGTAACCTTTATCACAGGTACATTTCCCCGGCGCACTACAGAATCCGTTCTCACATCCGTATTTGCACACGGGTGCGCAACTGTTTGCACTCACTGCAGAAAATCCTTGATGACACGTGCATTCCCCTGGTGCACTACAGAATCCGTTCTCACATCCGTCTTTGCACACTGGTGCACAACTGTTCTCTGTCACTTTGCTGTACCCTTTATCACAAGTACATTGCCCTGGCGCACTACAGAGTCCATTCTCACATCCGTTTTCACATAACGGCTGACAATTGTTCCCACTCTCATATGTGTACCCACTATTACAAGTGCACACGTCTGGCGCACTACAGAACCCGTTCATACAGCCATTTTTGCAGTCCGGCAAACACATGGAATCACTTATTTTCACGTGTCCTGCGAGGCATTCACATATTCCTGGGGCCGTGCATTTGCCGTTAAAGCAATTGTTTTTACATATGGGCATGCAGCTGTTATCGGTACCTTTCTGATAATCCGCATTGCATTCACAAGTTTCCGGAGCACGACAGATTCCATTATCGCAGCCTTTGCTACATATTGGATTGCAAGCGTTTAAGGTCTCGTTCAGCTGGAAACCAGGCTTGCAATCGGGTTGACATATCTGAGTATTGACATTTAAGGTGTAGTCCTTATTGCAGACGCAGTTTCCTGGTGATTTGCAGTGGCCATTGGCACAGCCGCTGCTGCAGATTGGCAGACAATGTCCGGTTGCCCCATCGATCTCGTACCCATTTGCGCAGATGCACTTACCGGGCGAGCCGCAACGGCCATTTGTGCAGCCGCCCTTGCATTGGGGCACGCAACTGGCATAGAAAGAGATGATCAGATTTATGGACGATATCAAAATTCATGTCCAAAACTCACCGATTGGCTGGCAAATGGTTGAGATTCTCATAGCCCCTATTACAGCTGCATGTATTTGGCTTTGAGCATCTGCCGCTGCCACAATTCTGATTACATTGCGGCACACACCTTAAACTGCTGCCCGTTAGACGTTTATATCCCTTACAGCAATACTTTACTTTTAAGGTCTAAAATTCATTTTAAATTTTTTAATTATAAACTGACTTATAGCAGAATTGTGTTTCTAATTAACTTACTATGGTTCTGTCCTTAAGCTTTTTATAATCCGTTCTGAAACAAATTTGTGCCAACACAAAACTGGGCAATAAAACATATATAAATATATGCCGAGCTAACATTATGCAGCATTTACTCCGATCCACTAAGAAATGAGACTGCGGGAAAAATTCGAGAGCGTGGAGATGTCGCCCAGTTTGCAGAATGTTTTGCATAGCTTGGATCCCGCCTCAATGCGCCTTACACACACAATCTTACACTTGCAAAAACAAATGGGTCATTTCCAAGAAAATAAAATAAACGTTAAAAATTAGATTGCCTCTAGCCAACGGGATGTCAGCACAATTATATCAACTTGAGAATGTACCTAAATTTTATTAAATTTTATGGAGAATATTGGAGGGTATAAATCTGATAAACATTTTTGTTGTCTGTAGCTCTTATCTTTATCTTCGAGGTATACTTTCAAATTACTTACGGACATTTATCGAAAAATGGAAACGGATATATAAGGCAGGAGATAAATTTATTCTGCTAACATTTTATTTCAGTTTTATGGAGAATGTCCATATTTCAGTTTTTAATGGATTTGAGAATAAAGTCGACAGTTCTTATAATCTTCGAGATATGCCTTTATAATACTTGTTTAAGTACCGATATTTATCGATATTAGGAAAATGGAAACGGATATATAAGACAATAAATACATTCTGCCCTGACTAAATTTTATTTCAGATTTACGGGGAATGTTGGGAGGAAAACAACAAGTGATCGATTATGGATTTGAGTATAAAGTTTGTGTCTGCACCTCTTGAAATCTTCGAGATTTGCCTATAAGACCAGTGGTAAATGTTGTTCTACGTATAGGAGGCAAGATAAACACAGCACATTATCATGATCGGGAATATATACAGGAATGATAGAGTCGACTACGCTTTCTCCTGCCTGTTGGATTTTTAATTGACAGAGTACTTTTTCTTATATTAAACAATTAATCAAGCTCTGTGTATTCATTCAATTTAGCCTCAACTTCTTAAACTGAACTTTAATTTGTTTCTTACAATTTGTTACAGTGGAGTTGTATTTGTATATGTTGAATTCTTATCGCAAATTTAACCATGCGGACAATGCCTGAACTCTGCTACCCATATCTTCCATTTGAAGCCCACGATGGAACTTGCTAAACATTCTATCCGAAGCTTTGAATACACTTATTCAAAAGATTATATAGTAGGGTCAATGCAATTTATAAGTGAATTGCATATTAAATAGAATTTAAGAAATTCAAAATAATAAAAAGTACCCAAGCCTCATGTGATATTTGGATATCTGCAGTTGGGGCTTAAAGTAACTATTAAAACCGCCTTGAGCCCATTTTATTAGTTTTCAAAGTATGTCACATTCTGTATCAAAGAAAATGATGATCATATAATATATACTACAATCGCATAAAAATATATACTAAATACATATACAAGATTTGTTTATTACAAATACAAAACAAATGGAGGCACGTATGTATATATACATATAAGAACATCAAGTAATCGTTAAAGCTAAATCAGTAAACTAGGCTAGTGGAATTTCCATGAAACGTCATACTCGTATTATATAGTCGCCCGATTAACAGAGGAATTAGAGGAAGCATGTGGAATGTATACAAAACAAAAAATGGATACTCAAGCACATAAATACTTACTGTGTGACTCAATTATATCATATTGAATGCAAATATATGCCAACTTGCCTATCTTCTTTCATTCATTTAACATATGTATTTATATGAATGTATTTTTAAGAAATTCCCTTATTTTGGATTAGCGTCACATTTGCCGTTACCTAATTAAAGTCTTCGGATTTAGTTTGTGAAACCATGAAACCCTTATTGAGGCCTGTCTTATTATATTTTTCATTTTAATTTAATTGTTTTTTTTTAATAGCTCATTTGAAAGTTTGTGTTAGTTTTCAACATAACACCAAAAATAGTTTGAGAAAATATTATCATATATTACAAAATATAACAAATCTTGGGTGTTTCTTTTTATGGAAAATAATTCCATTCCTGATTCGGTAAATAGTAAACAAAAATTGAATTATTCTATGTTCGAAACAGTTAAAGTTAGTTTTAAACTGATTTGTTGCCAAGGTTCAAGAAACGTTAAAAAATAAACCATTGAATTAAAATTTATCAACATACATTTTGCGTCATATTATTGAATAGTTTAAATATTGTATAATTTCAAATAATGTTCTGGTCCAGAATAAGTTAATAAACAGTTTAGCGCGTCGTGCACATGTACCCTTCGAGTACAGGTATGAAAAACATATTTTTTTCTACAAAGATAAAACAGCTCAACTAGTCGACGTATTTTCCAGAATTATATAAAAATAATTGAACGAGCCGCTACAGATTCAGTCAGCGCTCAGAGCAAGTATCTCAGAGTCGCTGTAATATTCATAAAAAGTATGGAAACAAGTTCGAGTTATAGAGCACTCTAGAATAGAGCGCCCAGCTAATGGATACCCTAAACGCAGCACCAAGCTGTTTAGCACACATAGACTCACATATATGCGCTTCACACAGCGGATGTGCTTCTTCTTCCCTTTGTCTTACACAAATACAGCTTTGAATAACTTCGGTATATGTAGTCCGATCATTTAAAAATTTTTAGGTCTTAAGTAAATGGCATTCAACTGTATGTGTTTTCCAAAGCGCAAAGTTCTACCTTCAAAAATTGGGAAATATTTTAAATTTATATTTACTCTACGAACTCTTATAATCTTGGAATCAAGTTGAGCATGTATCATAATCGATATTTATCGATGGGAGGATCTGTTACATACATCCGCAGAAAACTATTAAACCCTCCTTACTCACTTTCAAGGGGTTCAGGGTATAACGTAACGTATACCAGTCAATGCAGTTAGATGCTATGGGACATATAAGATTCAGCTACTCGGGAAAATATATCTCATTTGAGCGCGGCTAACTCGATTGGTTGGTGACAGTGACGGCAAAAAATACGGATTTTTTTTTTATTTTCTATTCCTATTTTAACGATGGTCGGAACGCCCAACACACGAATACTCGTAATTGGTTTAGTCTATGTGTGTGTAGGCCTCGTATATGTCGAGGGGCTGGCATACTATACGGAAAAGCGTAAGTGCATACAGTGACTATTGATTTAATTACACCGAACTGATTCATTAAAAGTGCGTGCTTGTGTTTTTGGCTGTTTTTTCAGCATAAATACATTATGATTTATCGACATGTGTGAACTAATTAATTAATTTACTTATAACAACAGCCGCATATATCGAATCGTGTCGCATTAAGGAGCCCGACTTTACGAACTGCTCAACGCGTTCCATTCAGGGATTCCTCAACGCGGTCATCAAAGGTGAGCAGCTGCTAATTGCATGCTTCAAGGCCACACAGCTACAGCTTGATTTTCATTGAACAGGCATACCCGAAATTGAAGAGTCTTTCGGACCCTTAGATCCCATGAAACAAGATCAGCTGACATTCAAGCAGGAGGACAGCGATGTGGCTTCCATTTCGGCAAATCTAACCAATTTGATAGTACGCGGCCTGGGCAAAATGGTTATCAAGGAGAGCAAGTGAGTACCTCATGACGTTCTCGGCACACTTTGCACTCGGCTCGGTCTAACTATTAATATCGAGCTAATGCATAATAAAGGCAGCTCGTTAAGGTCATGTGGAGACTTGTTTCATTAATGTTATTTTTCCCCCAAGCTTATAAGCACATGCCATTTCCAGTCTGAATTGGGTCTCTGAAAAATGGATATATTGATTGATAGAGTTACGGGTTTACTAAATCTTACAAATGATGTCACATAGCTTAGGCCTGATCTTAAGTAATGAAAATATTTTCTAACAATATATAACTTAGTTGTCTGATGTTAATAGAATGTGGGTTCTTTGGGGCATATTTAAGCTTATAATTGAAGAGTTCAGTCTAAACTCAATTTTGACCTACCTATCCCATTGGTGCTATAAGATATAATAGACCAATGCTGATCAAATTAAACTTGAATATTTTAAATATTATTAAAGTCGTAATTTAACAAGCTTGGTTAAAGCATCTTAAAAGCAAAATAGTTTTGAATACAAACATTCTGTCTTCGACTTATCTTTTCTATGAAATAGTATAAATCGGCCGATATGGCCGACGTATGAGCTGCCTGCTGCAATAAGTTTTACAAAGTTTGTAAATTAGATAGTATATAGTATAACGGATCATATTGCATATAAATATTCATAAAGGCAGAGGTGCATGAAGATAATCTATAACTTTTCCATTTTAGCTAAAATCAGTTCAAATCTATTTCCAAATCCATTTTATAAAGTAAATAAAGTGAGTCTCGAGTATTCTAGAATTTTATAAGATAACTAATTTTGTAAATATTTATAGAAAATATAAGTTATTATATTTCTTTTAAAGCCTTTCTAAAGAATCAGATCTGCAAATGCACAGGATAGCTGTCAAATACACTCTCATATATTTCATTGATTAAAAGTAAATATACGAAATTGATTAATCCACATTTCAGGGTCAACAAGAAGGACTTTAGCTGGGCGGACAAGATTTATATACCACGGCTGCGCATGAATGGCACTTACAAGATGCTCGGTCGCATTTTAATAATTCCCCTTCACGGATCCGGTAACATATTTATAGAGATTGGTAATAATAGCTAAACACTATAAATTACAAGTCAAAAAGATACTCAGATCCTCCCCCTCCGCCTCTATGACAGATGATCTGGACATACTGATGAACGCCAAGACGCGACTGTACGAGAAGGGCGGCTACACCTTCTATAATGTGACAGCGGTGACCGTTAAGCTGGAAGTGGGCCGCGTTCGGACATATTTGGACAATCTGTTCAATGGCCACAGCAAGGAGGTGGAGCGCAGCACGAATGAGTTCTTCAATGAAAACTGGCAAGATTTCTATGAAACGCTACGTCCACTTATTGTAGAAACATTGGAGCGCACATTGCTCGATCTGCTGAAGAAGATGTTCAATTTGATACCAGCCAATTTCTTTGTGGAGGATATACCCAATTCGCTGGTGCTCTACGGTCGCAAAACACAGCTAATAGCATAGAATTG